CCCCAAAACCCCAAAACCCCAAAACCCCAAAACCCCGAATTTGATCAAGATAGTTGAATATTTTAGTTTAATTTTATTAAAGAATCTAAGAATCTGACAATTCCTGACGTCCAGGAAGTTGCGAAACGGAAATGAATTTAGCTAATAGGATGAGTATACCTCATCTCAAGATGACTGAGCAAATTTATTCAAGAAGGGGTGGTTTACCACTGAGGTGATTCCCATTCTGTCAGAAAGGTTAGGATCAAGCATTTCTTCGACCAAGTTTTTAAATTCTTCGGACAATAATCCTTTTTCGTTCATACTTTTTGCAACGATGTGCTTTTTCCAGAACCAATCGCATCTTCTCTTCTTGCCAAGGAGTAAGGCTCTGTAGTTAGCATCATTTTTAGAGGCTGTTGCAAAAGGAGCAACTCCAACGACCATCGTAAAAAGTGTGACTCCAAGAGCAAAGATATCGCCTGCTTTTAAAATCTCTAGCTTTTCTGCAATTTTGTCGGTTGATTCTCAGATTGCCAAAACTCCTGAATTAGTGAGTTCAATAAGCTCAGGAGAAAGATATCCAGCAGTCCCCATAATATTAGCTTCAATACTACTTTCAAGGACCTTAGTCTGGATGTCTTTGTTCTGCTCTTCGTCAAACTGGTATTGGGAAAGATATCAGAAGCCGAAATCAATGAGCTTCAAGTTGGAAGAATCATCGATTAGAATGTTCTCGAGCTTGATATCTCTGTGGGCAATATTCATCTCATGAAGATACTCGATAGCTGAGGCAATCTGCTTGAGATATAGACAAGATAGAGGCTCCCCTAGCCCATTCTTTGACTTAACTAGTTGAAACAACTCTCCCTTAGGATAGTAAGGTAAATATAGGCTAGCAGTTTGTTCTTTCAAAGCCCTATCATGGCAAAAATCAATGGGCTTAATAATATGAGGATGGTTGAGTTCTTTTAATATCTTATACTCCTTACTCAGGAGATATCAGAATGCCTCTTCCTTAACAGTTTTCACAACTCACAATTCATTTTTCCTTGGAGAATTATTCAGAGCGGGCTCGTTATCAGTCGCCAACCCTTCAAGATAAACCACCGAATTTGGGCTGGTATAGAGTGTCTTTCCATCTAAAGGAGCTGCATCATTCCCTGGAAAAGAATGCAACTTATCAATACTGAGTTCAGAGACCAATTTAAGGACCTCTTCGTATTCTGTGGATGAATTCATATTCACCGATTTAATTAAATTTAATAAGTTTCTATTAATCTGCCAATTCTTGGGGTTTTGGGGTTTTGGGGTTTTGGGGTTTTGGGG